GAGGGTCTTCAGCGGATGTCATCCATAAAATTAAGACGGTGTGGCCTAAATGTGGTTGGGGCATGGGGGTGAAAATTTGTGGCCCTCGCCGCCACCCCCTTTACCTATCTACTCTTTCACACCGTGCTTTTGTTGAGCTTGTTTGTTTTTCTGCCGACAACTGTTGTGGTCTATTTACATCTTGATATTGACTCGATAAATGAGTTTTTAACGTCTTTTATTGAAGTACCAGTCTGAGACACATAGAACTGTTTTTTCTGTCTTTTGAAGTAGTAATACATTGGCAAATTGACATGTCACTCCAGTACTACACTGTACTAATAGTTCATGTATACCAGAAAGGTACATAGACGTAAGATGATTCATGTACACCGAGTTTAACTATGCGTGACGACCTTCTTTGGGTCTTTGGGTGGGGCTCACATTCTTACACTATACACGTCATCGCAAAACCCGTATTTTTTTTAACGGAGTGGTTCAATATACGACCACTTCTCGGCATTGAACTAGAAATATGAGAGAAACATGGCTATGACAAGAGATGGCGGTGAACGTTTGATTTGAAAGCCTGTAGATTGTAGGTTGGTGGGAAACACTTGTCAGGGAGGGAATTCCAAAGCTTGGCCGTGCGGGGAAAGAAACTGTCACTGTAAAAAAGGTTTCAAACAAGGAATTTGGACGGTGAAGTTGTGTAAGCTAGTGGAGAACCTAGTGGAACGCTTAAATTGTACATAGCACTTCTGCATAACATTTCGTTAAGGGCCGTAGGTGCTATTTAAAGATGGCATTTTGTCTTTAATTTTTAAATGTTGTATCGAAAATTAAAAGACATCGTCTGCAACAGGCGAAATTCTGATGCAATGCAATTGAACAAACATCCAATGAAAACCGTGAAAAAAAAGGTTTCGAATTCGCGCAGGCGCAGTACGTTCTGCCGACGTACTCAATTCAAGTACATCGATTTTAACGATTTTTATGACGTCATTGGGGGCGTGGCCCACATTCTCGCACGTCATCACGTACTGACCGTTAGTCACGTAGACATCACGTGACCTGTGCGGGGGGTATTAATTGGATCAATATGAAAAAATTTATCCAGACCCAAGTCGTCACATTGCATCGCACTGGTGTCACCAGGAAGTTTAAGCTTTAGAAAAAAATGGACAGACGAAACAGAACGTCCAAACATTTTAAAAGGGCCAATTCCCTTGAGGTAAGGCAAAAAAGTTCGTATCTTGTAAAAAAAAACTTTCATGAGATAAATAATTGCTGCTGTCAATCAACATATGGTAGGATCAAAGAAACATGTTGACGAATTGTGAGCTAACTTTTTCCTGGTGTAGATACGGAAATATTGGTTGACTGCGTCTCCTGAAACGGAGTGTTTGCTTTGGTGAGTAAACATGTGTTTACATGTGTAAACATGAGTAAACACTATGAGAAAGATAATTGTTGCTGTCAATCAACATATGGTAGGATCAAAGTAACAAGTTGACGAATTGTGAGCTAACTTTTTCCTGGTGTAGATACGGAAATATTGGTACATGGTTGACTGCGTCTTCTGAAAAGAAGTGTTTGCTTTGGTGAGTAAACATGTGTTTACGCGTGTAAACATGAGTAAACACTACTGGTATCCAAGATACGGAGACTGTGTACGGACTAAACTGGTACAGTATACATAACATATGTTATCTCAGATATAAGGAAGCTGGAAGTAGGTTAAAATGTACGAAAAATTGCTTACTTACAAAACGTATGCTGAAGTGTATATAAGTCAATTGCTGTATATGTGAGACATAAATATCTCAGAGTGGAACTCGCTGTCACCAAGTACAGTAGGGGCATTATCATTAGATAGCTTGAAACAGTGCTTAGAGTTAGATGTTCAAGCGTAGGTGTAACAAGTCGTTCAGTGTAATATAGCCAGCTGTCGCCGCGCCGCGTGCCTGCGAAGCTGGTGTGTAACCCTGTAGGGCAGTTATACCGGCTATACAGATACAGTCAGATACAGATGTTGCACGCTGTTTTCTTTACCCCGTTGCAGTTTTTATGGGTCATGTAATATTTCGTGAGAAAACCCATAGTTTGAGGCAGTCTTCTGAAAAGACAGAACTACCCTGAGGCGTCGCCAAAAAGGGATTTAAAAAGCGCTTGCTCAAGAAATGTTTTAGCAAAGAGAAAGATTGCATTTTTAACCATCAAGCCTGACTATTAATAGCTTCGGTATCTGGGCAAACCTGAATGGATTAGCCCATTAAGGAAGTGGATATCGATCGACCGCAAGAGAAGATATCAAGTTACGGAACAAAATTGGTTTCCATGCATGGCAAAGTTTGCGCAAGCAGTAACAAAAGAAAAGACTGTTTAACTGTGTAATTAAGTGGGACACTGTACACACTGCACACAATTTCAACGTAACCTGTCTATATACCGTTCTTGTGACACCTTGTTTGGCTCAAACAGGTAAATGTGTAAGATACCACAGTCTGCATTGTCTGCACTACTTTGAAGTGAATATAAATATTTTATCTAGTACTTTCATCTATTCTAATTAAGTGGAGTGGAAATGTATTTTTCGATAAAATACTTGAAACTTACTACTTACTAATTGTACAAAGAGGAAAAGATAAGAACGCAAAGATTTATTTGTTCAAAACAATAAACGTTTTATTCATATTGGACTTCTATATCTAATTGACTGTTAGAAACAGTCAAGCAGAGCTAGAAGCGCTTGGTATCTGCAATGTAAGTCTGAGTGAGTTGCATCGTTTTAAAGTTGTACATAGAGGGTAACAACGTGGAGCCTCTAAGAATAAAGTGCAGTTATAACAATAAACTTATTTAAAGTTAAAACTTTTGATCCAACACAAAGAAATCTCTCACCTAGAGCTTTCGACCAGTCACTCTAGTCTTCCTCAGTAGACTGACCCAGTGAAGCTTGTCACGTGGCTTCTTTGAAGTGTGACGTCAACACTTGGTAAAAGGTAACTGGTGGACGATGTCGGCCCCCGTCGCGGTTCAATGAAGGGTGATGGGCCCTGATGTATATGGCTTCCTTCACCCCTCTCAAGAAATAGTCTTGTTCAGTGTCCAAAATACTTACAGTGTCAAGTGTCAGCTTCACTGGGTCAGTCTACTGAGGAAGACCAGGTCGAAAGCTCTAGGTGAGAGAATTTTTTGTGTTGGACCAAAAGTTTTAACTTTAAACATGTAACTACCAACACAGATGAACTTTCATGATAACAATAAACTTACCATTATCATCAGGATATTGAGGCGAGTTGGTCGCGGAAGCCACCACAGTTTGAGGCCCGGCGAAAGAAGGAGAAGGCGAAGCAGAGCTCCATGGCCTGCTACCATGTCGTCGTTCTGGTTTTCCTTTTCATCCTCACCGCTGGAATAGCATATCTGGGTAAGTCAGCGTATTACTGATTAAAATGGATGTAAGCAGCAATCAACGGTTGTAAATAATCATAAGCGCAATGCAAAAACATTCACACATCATCATTCAAATTTTATGCTTCAAACGCATCCCCCAACTGTCCAATGTCAGAAATCTCTTCATGAAATTCACTCAAAGCCATCTTTCATCATGACACAAAATCGTTTTCTTTTGATTGCATTATTATTAAACCCTGTATCACAAACATGATCTGTTCCCATATTTTCCATTGTACCAAGGACATTATACATCTGTGTATAATGTCCTTGATTGTACAAAAAAGCGAGAAGAATTTGACCACTCTGTTATATTGGCTCAGTAACTAGAACACTTTGTATTAGCCTAGTATGGTACCCCTGTATGCTCCTTATGTATGCATGTCTCAGTCAAGTAGTTTTATTTTTTGTCTCCACTTTTCTATATATGTTTGTTATGTGTCTGTTAAGTCTTGACCTGTACCTAGCCCGTCGTGGCATGAATGTACAATAAAAGTATTTCATTATTTACAGTGTACAACGGAGCAGACACATCAACGTTTCTCCGTCGTAACAAGATTGGTGAGTGTTTCTTTTATTATTTCCCATCAGCTAAGTGCTAGTAACTGTGGCTTGCCCCATGTTTGACATGTTTGCAACAAAGAAAATGGACATACAATCTGTTTTATCAAACACACTATCGACCAAATTATTATTTAAAGTACAACTGAGAACTATAAATCACCTGTAGGTCGATGATTTCGCAAGGGGAACAAATTTACATTTTACAATTTGCTCATCCAAGCATGTTGTTATCACACACTCACGAGACTGTACGTGTGCAAATATTTGTCATAAAAAATACCAGAATCACGTCAACAGTCTATGACCTTTCGGTCATTTACAATAACACTGTGGGAAGAGAAGAAATGACCTAGCCTGACTAAACTGCGCCCCTTGCGGCCGCCGCCTGAAGTGCTGCCCCCAGGACACAGCAAGTAATTTTTATGGATGACATAAGCGTGCATTAATTTTCGCCTGATTTTAGGGAAAAACACACGAAATTTTGTTGCCTTCTGACAGTGGTCAACATGCCAAAAATGTTGCCATGCCGGAAGGTGGATGGCAGAGAGGAGACAAGAAAAGTCTCTGATTTAATGCTTCGTTTCTTACATTGATGCAGTGATATGTGATGTTGGCTGTGTATATATGATGCTCCCACTAAATTAAAATCATTTGTACAATGATTGAGTCCAAATTTTAAAATGTAGGAACCCTGTTTTTTTCGGCCCGCCTTGTTTTTTTTTCGCCCGCTCGCATTAGATTTAGAGTCTGCGAAGGATGTCATCCATAGCATTTACATGCTGTGGCCTGTTAAACCTCCGGCCGAGAGCTTGCGTAACACAGGCTAAGAAATGACCTAACAACAAACATAGAACGATCTCTACATATACGTGCGCCCTCGTTACCTTGTTCTGGTTCTCCTCCGATACCACTAAGTTGTTCCTGGGCGTCTACGTCTTGGAATAAACACTGTTGTGACTCCAAACATTGTCCAATGCGACGTACCCTCCCCAACAAAGATGGCGGACAAACGCAAAAATGTCGTCTGACGAAGACTGATCTCGTACCCAGGGTGCTCTGAATCGGTCAAAGCTATTGAATTAATCTCAGTATTTGTGAAATCATTATACACCATGACGAGGTTATAGCGTCATAAAAGATATGAAATTGGGACTTCTGATCGTATTCTGGCTATATATATGTGATAATGATGAATAAAACTAGAAAGGCCAACATTTGTTTTGGAGCAAATGTAATATATCACTCCATCTCCCTCCCCAAACAAAAATAGAAGATTATGAAATATAAGATGCCTGTTTTGTTTGCGTTTACAGATTCTGTGTCGGCAACTGAGAGCAGTTGTGTGCCGAATCCGTGTTTCTATGGCGGTGTGTGTGAGGACAACGGAGACGGTGGTTACACCTGCACATGTCCCGCAGGACGGGAGGGGGAGAAATGCGAAATAAGTATGTTCATCATCTGTCCAATGATGTGTGTACATATGTTGCTATACTTCCTATACTCCTACACTACGGTATGGAACATGGTAGGCTTTTGTAGGCGTTGGGCAAGATTGAAGAATCAAATGGTCCATTGAATTTAAAGGGTGTCAGCTCATTTGAACACCTACGTAACATTCGATTCACTATATGTACAGAAGGATGCCAACAACTCTATATGTACAATATGGTAGGACATAGTATTGTTTAACGAACTTATACACAAGGCAATACAATATACAAATATGATACACAACAGAACACTATAAATTATTAAGAAGGCATTAATTTGGTGAGAAAAGACCTTTATAATATCATAGGGATGTAGAGAGGGACAAGAAATGCTCACTTCAGAAAAGTCGTTCTAACAAGATTGTTCTTGCCTTTTCTACCCTGACCAGGTGCTGCCTGCTCAGGTAACCCGTGTAATCACGGTAACTGTACCGAGGACCCCAACGGATACTACTGTGCCTGTGAGCCAGGTTGGACAGGAACGAGATGCGAAACAGGTCAGTGTAGACAGCAAATAAATTTAGATACGTAGATTATGATCATGAAATTTGGTATTTTTATTAATTTTTTATTTACTAGTAATGTTTAGTAACTTTTATGAAAGTTCATCTTTTTGGTAGTTACACGTTTCAAGTTACAAGTTTGATCCAACACAAGAAATGGTTCTTACGTAGAGCTTTCGACCAGTCACTCTGGTCTTCCTCAGTAGACTGACCCAGTGAGGCTTGTCACGTGGCTTCTTTGAAGTGTTACGTCACCACCGGACCAAAGGTATCTGGTAAACGATGTTGGCAAAGAAGTATAAAACATTTATAAAGCTTGTGACTGTATAATGTATTTGTATCTGCAGCATTGTTCTGTGCGAGCCAGCCTTGCCAGCATGGGGGAGTCTGTATAGATGGTGCAAACGGCTTCTACTGTTTCTGTGAACAAGGTTGGACCGGCAAACAGTGCGAAACAGGTAAAATCATAAACCTATTCAATATGGCTTGCCGTTGCTGAATTTTCAATGACACTTAATGGAATTATTCAATCTTTACAAGCGCGAATGCTTAATATGATTTTATTATATTTACCGAAGGAGAACATATTGTTCTTGCTCTGTTTCTTCTTCTTCTTCCGTTCCAAACACTAACCTCTGACCTGGCCAATGACCTGATTTGTTGACGTCTCTCACCATGGTAACTGGTGTTGGGAAAAATCCCATGGCCCATTGAATTTAAATGTTCTCTCATTTCAACACCTACGTAACATTCGATTCACTATATGTACAGAAGGATGCCAACAACTCTATATGTACAATATGGTAGGACATAGTATTGTTTAACGAACTTATACACAAGGCAATACAATATACAAATATGATACACAACAGAACACTATAAATTATTAAGAAGGCATTAATTTGGTGAGAAAAGACCTTTATAATATCATAGGGATGTAGAGAGGGACAAGAAATGCTCACTTCAGAAAAGTCGTTCTAACAAGATTGTTCTTGCCTTTTCTACCCTGGCCAGGTGCTGCCTGCTCAGGTAACCCGTGTCATCACGGTAACTGTACCGAGGACCCCAACGGATACTACTGTGCCTGTGAGCCAGGCTGGACTGGGACGAGATGCGAAACAGGTTAGTGTCGACAGTAATTAAAAATATACTAGAAACGTAGATCGTGATCGTGAAATTTAGTATTTTTTTATTAGTAATGTTTAGTATGTTTTAAAACAATATTTTAAAAAATCATAAAAGGTCATCTGTGTTGGTAGTTACATGTTTCAAGTAACAACTTTTGATTCATCACAAAGGAATAGATCTCACCTAGAGCTTTCGACCAGTCACTCTGGTCTTCCTCAGTAGACTGACCCAGTGAGGCTTGTCACGTGGCTTCTCTGTAGTGTGACGTCAACACTGGGTCAAAGGTATCTGGTAAACGATGTTGGCAAAGAAGTATAAAATTATTTATAAAGAATGTGACTGTATAATGTATTTGTCTCTGCAGCATTGTTCTGTGCGAGCCAGCCTTGCCAGCATGGGGGAGTCTGCATAGATGGTGCAAACGGCTTCTACTGTTTCTGTGAACAAGGTTGGACCGGGAAACAGTGCGAAACAGGTAAAATCATAAACCTATTTGATATGCCTTGCCGTTGCTGATTTTTCAATGACAGTTAATAGAATTAGTCAATCTTTACAAGCGCGAATGCTTAACATGATTTTATTTTTTATAATATTTATATTATGATTAACATGGCCATTAAAAGTTGTTTAACACTTAAGCAAAATGGCTTGTGTTTTCCTCAGACATTGATGAATGTAAAGACAACCCATGTGGCTTGAATCAACAGTGTATCAATCACCCCGGAAACTTCACATGCAACTGTACTGATGGGTACGACGGAACACCCTGCAACGGTAAGGAGAACGGTGTTTTTAAAGCTGTCTCAGTACGAAGATTTTTAAGGGAGGAAACAGTTGTCAATTCAGAATCAAGATGCTCCTTCAAAAGATTTTTCATTAATTCACTCTTAAGACTCCAGTTTTATTTTAGCATTCTTTGTTAAGATAACCGTTTTAGGAATTTTGTCAATTTCATAAGTCAAAGTCATACTCTTCATCATTTGAATTTTATTAGTTTTTTTCACTGCGACAGAAATTTCATCATAAAGTCGCAGGATAGTCAACTGTCAATTAATGATTGATTTCATGAAGCATTATGTCGATAAAGAATAGATATATACAGGCTAAGTAACTAGCCACATGCTACACGAAGTACTAAAAATAAAATCTTCGTCCCACAGATGTTGACGAGTGTGCTGCCAACCCTTGTCAGGTTAACGAGGATTGTATTAACACTGTTGGGAGTTACACCTGTACCTGCAAGACAGGCTTCCGCCCGAATGGAGATAACTGTGAAGGTAACTACACTCATATGGTTAGACCGTTTCAGATTGACAACTTAACTGAAACAGGGTTAAACTCGGGTATCCAAAACTTACAGGTGATGCTAGAAGCTATATCATTCATATAAGTATAGCCCTGTTATAACATGAAAATCCGCTCTAGTCGTTGAAGAGGTTCATCAGTCTCGTAGAATTAACAGTTTGTAGGAAATTCTAGTTCTTCAATCAGTGACTGTTTTTGTTAGGTAAAATCACGTACCTCCAAATTTTCGATGTTGACTGTACACCTTGACCTGGTCTCGCGAGAACACGAGACTAGGTCGAGACTTGTGTTGATCTTCTGACCTCCCCCGCCTCCTTGCGGAGTAGGGGTAAATAGGACTTGGGCAGCTCCCAACCGTTACGATTCAACCCGGCACGTTCGAACTGGATGTGGACTGCTTCCTTGATCTTTCTATGTGCTCTACGGGATTCTCTAGATATTGAAAATAGATAACGTTTTGAATTCTTATTTTCACACAGATATAGACGAGTGTTCCTTCCTCGGCCGATGTCCAGACCACTCAAACTGCATCAACACCATCGGCAGTTACCGCTGCGATTGTCACACCGGATTCAGCGGTCCAACTTGTACAGGTACGGAGGAAATAAGTGACATTTAATACAACAATCTCCGGTTTGGTCCAGCAGGTTTGGCTCGGGCAACTCACCGGGAAACGTGTGATGATTTTGAAAGATATCATTGAAGCACATACAATTTCCATGCTTAAATTCTGAAGCTAAACTTCAAAAGAATAACGCGTGTACCTCGCATTTTAATATTTTCTTATCGTGATCTATGAATTAAGATTAATTTATAACCAAAACGTGTTTCATTTTCTGTAGAAATTACTACCACGCCCCCGCCTTCTACTGCAAGTTCCACAACAACTACTGTTAGTGGCTCCACTGTAACAGTGACACCAGGGACAACAACTTTGAACACCTTCACTGGTTCAGTGACGACAACGACGGCGGCGGCAACAACAACAACAACAACATCTGGAACAACGGCAACAACAACAACAGGGACAACCGAGACAACAACAACCACACAGCCAACACCAGACATCGGCTGGATAAACGGGCAAAGCGTTAGACAAAATAGCAACGGCTGGAAAGTAGATGCCACAATGGATGAAAAAATCAGTAACGCCTCAGCTCACCAAGGACAACAGTGTTGGTACTACAAAAGTGGTAGAAACACCGGTAGTCAACCCGGGCCTGGAGACAAAACGCCCTTCTCTCCCGGCCTCAGTGTTAAAGTCGGACGGTCTGACGGCACCTATACTGCCGAGGCGGACTCCTTCTACGTGTCCTTCTGGTTCAAGATGGCGAAAGACTACAGCACCAAATTTGGAGACGGGACCAAGATGTTGGTCGTAGCAGGAGACCCGAACGGTACCTTCGCCTCTTCTAACCACCTAGAGATCTATTTCCCCTCCCGTTACCGTGCCAAGGTATCGATCCAAACCAAGGAAAGCTATCCAAGCTATACAGAATGCGCGCAGAGCAAGAACTGTGGCGATAACTTCGGCGGTATCCCCAACGTCATTGCCGATAACCTTGATCCCACCACCTGGCACCATGTTGAGATGACCCTCCGCTCTCGGCCCCAGGACTACATGGACGAGTGGTTCTATGTGATCGACGGCGACACCGCAAACCAAAAGCAAGAAGGCGCTTTTTACAAAACCCAGCAGTACGACGAAGGCCGGTACCTGTATGTCAACAGGCTGTCGTTTGTTGACATCACAAGTGACGCATATGTCAGCGCAAAGAAAGGAATCTACTTTGACGACATCAGCTACAAAGCCTACAATTCCTCCAATACTAACGTGGTCCTTAAGGAATACAGCACCTCTTTTGAACCTGTTGAAAATTGAGCAAAACTTTGAATATTTGCGTGCCCAAGTGAAGTTGATAATGAACATGCTAGCGCTGTTTTTAACATATTACATTCTGTGATAACTGCGGTGGTGTAATGTACACTTTTAACTTGTGGTGGCATATTTGCACCAAAAATAGCACAATAACAAACACCCAAAGTAATGTAAGATAAAGTGGAGAATATCATAATTGTATTAACTTGTTTTAAATGTGTACTGCAGAGTAAATTTACTTATAGTAGGCCAAAGGCAGTTATTCGTATCCACAATATGACGTAACGTGTGTCTCTGTATACCTTTTAGGTTGATAAAAGAGTGTTATTAGCTATATGTGATAACAATAAGCTATAGTATATATCTCTATATGTATATATTTGGATTTGCTGTTTTCCATATAGAAGGCTTTTGGAACTGAATTCATATATAGTTATATAAGTTAATATATAGGCTGTATGCTAGTAGCGTAGCTGTTGGTCAAATTAGCAAGATTTTGTATTCAATTATTTTAATATTGGGTTACTGGTGATAACAAGGAGTTATGGATTAAAATCTGTACTAACGATGCATCAATAATAAATTTGGGGCAAATCGTTTGACACGTTTGACGTCTTCTTTCTTATTATATTCAGTTGACAACTAGATTTCCCATTGCCGGTATGGTGTCAGACGAAACAACACTACAAGATAACAAAGTACAAAATTAATGCGTATATTATCCTTCTGTAACTTACACATGACCAAAGACAGATACTACAACATATATTTATATACGTGGCTCAGTATAAACGTGTTTGTGTCTGTTTGTTTGCGTGAGTTTGTGTGCCTAGTGTCTGTGCGTGTGTGCGTGTGCATGCGTCTGTGTGTGTGTGTGTGTGTACGAGTTATTAATGATAGAATATCCTTACGATTATTGCAGCACGTTTGTAATTATCAGTTTGATGATGTTCGTCCATCAGTTTACATACTAAAAATAGGATATATCTTCAAACTCTGAAAAAATGACAGATCCTCGGGCAGTGTCTAAATAAGATCTAACCGTGAATAGGAAAGTTCTTTGATCACAACCATTTATTTTTTTTACAAGCCGACGTTTCGATGACCGTCTGTCATCTTCAAGATCTAACCATGTTTGCCAGATAAGAATGTCTTGTCGATTTAAACAAACAAACAATACAAAGTTTCATGTAGTAATGTTAACTGCGGATTCAACTAACAATAGATTCATAAATTGTTCCAAAGGCATACACGACGATTTAGGGTATCATGTGCCACCGAAATTTAAAATCACCACAGAACTACAGCTACCAAAAATGGACAACAGTTTATCAGAATCTAAACTCACACGTACGCATATTTGTAATCCTCAACAGTGTTAATAACAGACTTTTAAACTTTTGAATGATTACATTGGGCTTGGAGACTGTGTTTCAACCCAGACTATAAAGGGCGCAGATTGTTTTGATATTTTGGAGCGAATGTGAAGATTGTGCATGTGGTCGATGATTAGCTCCACTTTAGTTTTTGACTGGTTCATAGATTATTGCTTATTGTAATCTCATAACACTCTTTTATCGACCTACAAGGTTACAAAGCCACACGTTACATTACTTTGTAGGCATGAAAAACTGCCTTTGGCCTACTGTAAGTAAGTTTACTCTGCAGTAAACATTTAAAACAAGTAAGTACAATTATGTTATTCTCCACTTTATCTGACATTAGTTTTGATGTTTGTTATTGTGATGTTTTTGGTGCAAATATGCCACCACAGGTGCAGATTGTACATTACACCACTGCAGTTATCACAAAATGTACTAGGTTTAAATTTGTGTTTTCGGATATCCGTTCAGTTTTCATCTGGTTCAAAAGAGGTGCTGTATTCGTCTAGGACCACGCTAGGATTGGCGGAGTTGTAGGCTTTATAGTTGATGTCGTCAAAGTAGATTCCTTTCTTTGTACTGTCACTGGTGGTACTGATGTCAACAAACGACAGCCTGTTGACGTACGAGTATCGGCCTTCGTCGTACTGCTGGGTTTTGTAAAAAGCGCCTCCTTGCGAGGGGTTTGCAGAGTCTCCGTCGATCACATAGAACCACTCGTCCATGTAGTCCTGGGGCCGAGAGAGAAGGGTCATCTCAACATGGTGCCAGGTGGTGGGGTCAAGGTTATTGGCAATAGTGTTGTAGATACTGCCGAAATTATCGCCACAGTTAGCGCCAGGTTGTGCGCATTCAGTATAACTAGGGTGGCTTTCCTTGGTTCGGATAGAAACCTTGGCACGGTAGCTGGTGGGGAAATTGATCTCTAGGTGGTTAGAAGAGGCGTCTGTACCACTTGGGTCTCCTGCTACGACCAACATCTTGGTCCCGTCTCCAAATTTGGTGCTGTAATCTTTCGCCATCTTGAACCAGAAGGACACGTAGAACGAGTCCGCCTCGGCAGTGTAGGTGCCGTCAGACCGTCCGACTTTAACACTGAGTCCGGGAGAGAAGGGTGTTTTGTCTCCAGGCCCGGGCAAGTTAACAACAGTGTTTGTACCACTCTTGTAGTACCAAGACTGTTGTCCTTGGTGAGCGGACGCGTTACTGATTTTTTCATCAATTGTGGCATCTACTTTCCAGCCATTGTTGATATAGCCAGTAACGCCATCAGAGTAGGTGATACTGTTTATGTGAACGCTTTGCCCGTTTTCCCAGCCAACGACTGATGTTGGCTGTGGAGTTGTATGTTTGGCCGTTGTAGGTGCCATCATAGTGGTTGGTTCTTCTGTTGTTGTTGTTTCTAGCAATGGAGAATATCATAAAACATTTAGATGTTGCAGAACGCATTTTAGAAGTGCGTTAATACCATGTAAAGCGCTATGCTGAATCAGATGTTTACGCCATTATCAATGCCTACCCGACCCATAGATTTAGTGCATGATAGTGAGCATTATTATATCCCCCTTTAAGTTAGTTACTCAGTAGCTACGTACCTTTGGAAACGTTACAGTTGTTGAGCTGTTCGGTTAGCTGCATGATCTGCAGCTGAAGATCGCTCACGCTGAGACCGTGCTGTTCCTGGAGGTTGGACAGCACGTCGGACAGGTTGGACAGCTGTGTGTGGTAGACCTGCAGCAGCAATGCATCGGCACTGAAGAGAGAAAAAAAGGCAAATTATGTCAACCATTACATTAGTTTTAGCAAGTTGCACCACGACCCAGATTCACTTCTTCTATTGATTTAAGAATGGCAGAGCAGCAAAGATATTTATATGCTGCACATCCTGAATATACTTTCCTGGTACTGGTATATTGACTTTCGTATGTTGACAAACCTACTTCTTCAGATGAAAACATGTTAAAAATCAATTCAACAAGAATACTGGTTTGACAAATGTACATGTTTCTGGTGAGATAATCCCTGATCATTTGCGATAACCACCGAATGAGCCACCGAGTGAGCGTAGCGTGGGTGGTTTATTCTGATAACCGACCACTTCTTTCATTATCCACCACTCATGATGCTACGGCCTGATAACCGAAATGGAGGCTTCTCATTGGTAACGTCGCCCGGCTATATGATAATAATCAGTGTGTAATACATAATAAAATAAAATAAAATAAAAATGAAATAAAAAAAACAATACCTGTCAGCTTGCAGCTGAGGAAGCAGGCCGGCCAAAGCCTGTATCTCGTCCCGTATGTTGGAGAAGTACTCCGTCAGTAGGAGTTGCCGGTCAGCTTCCAGCACGGCCAGCTGGGACGTCAGGTTGTCGATCAAGGTCATGGTCGTCTGAATGTCAAGGGCATTACTGGTCCTAGAAGATAAAATAAATCTATTTAAATCTATTGAAAAGACAGGTTGAAACTAGAAAGGTAGCATTTGCAAACCAAATACATAATGTTTACCTTCGCATGTGGTCTGCTCTGTTAATTCTTACTCAAACACATTCAATATATATGGTGACAGAATAACTTCCTGCTATAAAATTGCAACATGGTGTAACCCAACACTAGTTATCATGGTGGCAGACCTGGTTCAGGTCATTGACCTTACATGGAGAAGAGGAAACTGATCAAAAACGATATGTTTTACAAAGCTAAATGATTTGAATCTATCGAGTACGATTTTCATCATCTTCATGTACGCAAGATTATTTTAACAATTAGAATTTTATGAATTTCACACACATTCAAAAAACAATTAATACAGGCTGGACAACGGACACCACAACTATGGCATGGAAAAATGTGGGGCCCCAAACATCTCTCTTTTCCTATCTAGCCTGTATTGACAATCAGATAATGAAACAATACCCCTTTGGTATAAACCACCCCCTAGTCAGCATTTTAATGCAACTATACAGTCTACCAAGCACATTGTCAGTCATCTCTATGTATGGAACAACTGTTAATCACTATTCCTGTGGAATTTTAAAATCGTTTTGTGATAAAAATCGTCTACATACCTATTAGCCAGTTGGTGCACCAGGGTAGTTAGGTTGGCTACCTGTGCCTCCAGGTCTTTGATGTAGTGATATTTGGCGTCGTCAGAGCAGACGTCAGGTGAAGGCGCCAGTACCGTACATGTACAGCGGCCAGACGTGTCCTCAGACGTGCTGTGTACGTAGTACGTGTCACGGGAGCCATGGACCTGTACATGGGGAGGGGGGCATGCAGAGAAAAACATTCGTTGTATTAGAAATATTCTACGTAATACTGTAAGACTTGTACGCGCCAGTACCATACAGGTACAGCGGCCAGACGTGTCCTCAGACGTGCTGTGTACGTAGTACGTGTCACGGGAGCCATGGACCTGTACATGGGGAGGGGGGCATGCAGAGAAAAACATTCGTTGTATTAGAAATATTCTACGTAATACTGTAAGACTTGTACGCGCCAGTACCATACAGGTACAGCGGCCAGACGTGTCCTCAGACGTGCTGTGTACGTAGTACGTGTCACGGGAGCCAAGGATCTGTACATGGGGGAGGGGCATGCAGAAAAAAGCATTTCGTTACATTATATAGATGCTACGTAAGGCTCTATATAAAGACTTGATCGGGCCAGTACGGTACAGGTACAGCGGCCACGGACGTGTCCTCAGACGTGCTGTGTACGTAGTACGTGTCACGGGAGCCAAGGATCTGTACATGGGGGAGGGGCATACAGAAAAAAGCATTTCGTTACATTATATAGATGCTACGTAAGGCTCTAAGACTTGATCGGGCCAGTACGGTACAGGTACAGCGGCCAGACGTGTCCTCAGACGTGCTGTGTACGTAGTACGTGTCACGGGAGCCATGGACCTGTACATGGGGGAGGGGGGCAAAAGCATTTTGTTACATTATAAAGATGGTACGTGTGACTCTAAGATAAAATTTGTACGCGCCAGTACCGCGTACAGGTACAGCGGCCAGACGTGTCTTCACACGTGTTGTGTACGACTAGATGATGATGCGTAAGACTCTTAAAGACTTGTACACGCCGGTACCGTACATGTACAGCGGTCAGACGTGTCCTCAGTGTACGTTAGGGGTACATCGTACATGTCACGGGTACCATAGACATTATACATGTACATGGGGAAGGGGGCCATGCAGAAAAAAAACATTCATTACGTTTGATATGAACATGCTACATATATAGAGCTATAAGACTTATGTATACACATAGAACACGAAAGTTCCAACATTAAACCACTTGCCTGCATTATGAATACCCTAAAGTCATAATATCTAAAATTATCATCGTTTACAAAGAGACTGTACCCCTTGACATAATCATAGAAGTTTTGATCCGTGAAAAAAGTCACTCTGCAATTGAAGGAATAGGATATTTGGAAGCATGCATATGCAGTTGTACTTGATATAGTTAAGCAAATACCAGTAGCTTTACTACGAAATACGTTCCAATTGTTAGCGCTTTTAGTTGTGAACTGATTGACCGATCTCGGTATAGTATCACAAATATTTGAGGTAGTTTACCTGTGCTTGTGAGAGGACAGTCATCAAAATCAGGAAAACGACAATGTGAAGACAAGACATCTTCAAGCTTCCGAAGACCCTCATTGTGAATCCACTGCAATGTCTTAATGGCCAAACTACGCGAGCATTCTTCCTTTTATAGTTATCCGTTACTATGGACTTAGCGTTTGACAACTTAAAAAACACTTGTGAAAGATTAATCATGTAGATCATGCATTAGGTCAGCAAAATTGCTGATAATGATCTTTTCAACATTTCCTCACTTGAGTAACCCGGTAATGTGTTTTCAAGTGCAGTATAAACACACTTAGTTGTCGTGGCAAGAGACTTGTGGTCTCGGAATTAACATCTCGCGAGAGCAACTTGGTTTAGGTGGGACCGGAGACAGAATGTTTTCCACAGCTTCTCCCAAACCCCGCACAGTGACAGGGTGAACTGGTCAGTCTGGCCTTCCCCGGTCACGACTGACCACTGAAGAACTGTGGTCACCACAAACACACGGAGGAACCACATCTTGTAGGGCTGCTGTCTGAGTGAATAACAACTACTGTACAAATGTACATGTTCACCAGGTGGTGAAGTTCCCATGTAACTGGTGTATAAATAGTTTTGTGGGGCAAGCTGTCATACAGTAAAGTTTAGAAGCCCTAACTTTTTGCAACTGGTGTATAGTTTTGTATGGTAAGCAGTGTTACAGAGTAAAGTATAGAATCGCTGGCTACATTTTACATACTGCTTGAATGATGTTAACTTCGTAATCAAAGAAATAACTTAGGTAGCAATTATGCTAATTTGCTAATATACGGTACTTTCTGAGCAATCCTAGGCAAGACAATTGGGAAGGTATGTGGAAGCCGCGATCTTGTGTTGCTTCAGACAGCTTGGAATGTTTCAAAAAGGCCCTCGTGCATGAATTACGTAAGAGCACTGAAGACAACTGTGTGGCCCAAGGTCCAAAGAAACAGAGATGGGTGCAACTTTAAACACCTTGAACAGAAGACAAAGAAACATTCACAAAGAGTATCAGAAAATAATTTGTTTGGCAACTTTAATCCATGTTTTGTGAAAGTGGTTTCTATTGAAGTGAATCAACTTCACAAATAAAACTCAAACCACTGATAGCTAGTTAGTTTGGGGATTTTACTTCTTCCCTTGCCTCATGTTTGCCACCCTGGTGCTGAAGTCAGTGGGACGGACCATCATTTTGGTCTTCTTCAGAGAATAGAAAGGGTTATTGTTGAAAGTATACCAGTAGACACTATGACCATTGTTGATGTTGAACTCGTCAGTGTCTCGGAAGTACGGACCGTTCAGGTTACTGCGGCTGCCGCTACCGTACCACCAACCACCACCAAAGTATTCTGCCATTGAACCTGAGTCAGTGTCTCGGTCATACCAACGGGTGCTGAACTTCATACCATTGTTGGTATATGAACCTGTCAGATAAAACCCATCCCCTGCTGTCCCACTGTACCCTCCCACACTCAGGGCGTAATCATCACCCGGACCGACTGAGAAGCTGGAGTATCGAGCAAACTTCACATTCCCAGACCAGTCTTCAAGCTCTATGTACAACTCATACGCGTTCTGGGCTGTGATATGGTAGATGTTGTCTAATCCCAGCCAGTACTCACCACTAGAGTCACCAAATCCACCTTGATAAGCGCCGATCTTTCGGAAAAACTCGAGGGACCCGTCAAACCTCCTCTGTATGACCGTCCACCCTCCCCCATCTGTGGTCTGATCACAGTATACAGAGATTGGGTCGTTAACATGTGCAGGTTTGATAGAAAACACCCCACTAGCTATCTGACCAAACATGGCCTGAGCAGTATGAATCTCAGAACAGTCATCAAAATGGTTTCCTCGCCAAAGGTTGTCAGTGTTGGCCGGACTGTTGCGTGGAAGGTGTTGCTTGTAGCCTTGTTCTCCTATGTTTGTCTCTTCTTCATCGTCAGTTGACTCTGCACATACATATACATGCACATTGTATTCTTAGTACAACTTAATATAACTGTAACCTCCTACAAATGTGCAGTTTTCTCCTCTATTTGCAATGATTGTCTGCTAATTTCAAAAGCAAACTGATCAACTTTTATCTCAGTTTGTGTTGTTTTCACAGTAAGCAGCTCACCATGTTGCTGTTCCTCACCACCAGGATGGGGCTGTACGGAGGACAGCACCTGTTCAACTCCAGCTGTCTTTAAATCTTGCAAAGGGCCCTGCAAGGTTCCTAGAAAATAAGACCAACAGATAAATTCCTTCTAGCCTGTGGTATAGAACCCTGTCAGTTGATCAAATGAAATGAAAGTGGTGTGCAGTTCCCGGAATCATTTAATGATCCTTCTTCCTAATATTATCTGGGTCAGGGGTCTAGAAATTAAATATATCATTCGGCATTTTGTAGTTTTTATTGTTTCAACAGAATATTGATGCACATGACATGATACATGACTTTATGTCCTACCTTTTCGGCCCGTGTGATAACTAGCGGTACGGCCCGGGGGTTCTGAACGCGTACTGCCCGGGCCTTCCAAATGTTCCATAGAACGATTCGAACGCGTTTCGCCCTAACCGCGTGCAACGCTTTCGAAAATTCGAATGCAAAATTCGGACGTTGGAATTGATGTTGTTGCGTTTTTTGGGATTAGGGACACCAAATTTTTGCTCATTTCGCATTGAAAGGCGCGTTTTCGCGGGTGGGTATGACATAAATAAAATACAACACGGTGTATTCCGCATCACCCTCGGTCCCAGCCCTCCCGCAGATCGGATCTCCCTCCGGCCTCCGGGCGATCCGACGCGCGGTCGGGCTGGGACCTCGGGCGATACGGAATACACCGTGTTGTATTCTATATGTATCTTTGGTCAGGATTGCAATAACGACAGTTTCAGATATAACGTATACACCATGCTAGCCATACATATATATGAGGGGGTTCTACCTACCACAATCCACGCCATGCTTCTCTAACATGTCCAGAAAGTCACCACAGATCGCCTCAGGAGTTCCCAGTTCAGCGTGGTCCAAGTTGTTGTCAGTAGCTAGAACGGAAAAATTCTAACCTTGATCAATTCATCCTGCATACATGCATTTGTATACTACACAATGATAAAGCCTTCATGCAGAAGAGTTTCAATGTCACATAGTGAACGAACTAAAAAGTGTTCATGTTGCATTTAAGTATATAGTTTCTGTGCTATCAACACATACATGTATAGTGCTATTTTTTACTGCAATCAAGGGATTTTTTCGTAGAATGAACTCCATATGGTAACATGCAAATCTCTGCATGCATTGGTTTTGGCTTAATTAAAAAGATTTTTTTCGGTTTCATGGCATTTCATACAAAGACAGTAGCAGCGAAGAGGTAGAAAGATTATGTTACCTAATATCTGGGCTGTAAAACCAAATTGTATCAATTTGCCCATATGGGTGTTCCATAATATTATGGTAATCTTTTTACCCCACAGATTTCTCGTAACATTATACATGTAACTGTTAAACACATAGAAAATGTACTAACCTTTCTCCAAACACTCCTCCCAAACCCTGCACAGTGACAGGGTGAACTGGTCAGTCTGGTCTTCCCCGGTCACTACTGACCACTGGAGAACTGCGGTCACCACAAACACATGGAGGAACCACATCTTGTAGGGCTGCTGTCTGAGTGAATAACAACTACTGTACAAATGTACATGATGTTTATCAGATCACCAGATGGTGAAGTTCTCATGCAACTGGTGTATAAATAGTTTTGTACGGTAAGCTGTCATACAGTAAAGTTTACAATCCCTGAATACATTTTAGAAGAACACAGATTGAATGAAAGGGGCACCTTAGATAGCAACGGATGATCATGCTAATATACTGTACGGTATGATACGCTGTCGTCATACGGTTTAAATAGTTTTGTAGGGTATGCTGTCATAAAGTTTAGAATCCCTGACTACATTTTGGAAGAACGCCGCTTGAATGATGTCAACTTCATAATCGAAGAAGCAACTTATAGCAAGGGATGATCATGCTAACACATTGTACTGTCTTGATGTGGCCCAAACAATCATAGGCAAGACAGACAAGTCCTATTGAGGAATGTATGTGTAAACCGAGATCTTGTTTTGCTTTAGACAGCTAGGAATGTTACAAAAAGCCATGTGAATAACGTATGGGCATTGAAGACTACTATGTGGCCCAAGGGCTATACAAATATATATAGAGAGATGGGTGCCACCTTATATACCAAAAGGTGTGTTATACCAATATACCATTGTGAATCCGCTGCGTTGTCTCAATGACCAAACTATGCGAGTATACGTCCCTTCATAGTTGTCCGTTATATATGTGTGTGTGTGTGTGTGTGTAGACTCAGCGTTTGGTAACTTCGAGCCACTTGAACCATGTAGATAATGCATTGGGTCGGCAAGAAATTTTCTGATGATGATCTTTTCACGATTTCCTCACTTGAGTAACCCGGTAATGTGTTTCGAGTGCAGTATAAACACACTTAGTTGTCAGGGCAAGAGACTAGTGGTCTCGGAATTAACATCTCGCGAGAGCAACGTGGTTTCGGTGGGAGGGGATGGTATCCGCCATATTGGATTGAAGTGCAAGCAAGAATTTTTGAAAAATTGAATTCAGGAACCGTGTTAAAACAGTCAGGCTCAGTTTTAATTACAACGATCGTTATATATGATAATTTTTATTCTCTACTTTACCATTTTAGCAACAGAAATTAATATTTGCAACATATTCTTGTGTGGCACGCTTCACGTATACCACACTCTGCAAAATGTGATAAAACTGCAATTGCCTTATCGCCTTTGAAAACCTTATGTGGCGCATATGTTAAACTACGATATTATATATGTTTAACATCACTAAGAAACGAGAAGCCGAACCTCTGTATTAGTGTAGCTTTAGAGCTGTTTGTACTACAAATATGTATATATTTACCTTTTCATCTGTTCACCTGTACTTAGCCCGATGAATGTACAATAAAGGTTATTATCAATATCTTGATCTTGACTTTGTGAAATACAGTTTTCAAATAAATCATGCTTCTCAAAAACTCCAGCTTTTAATCGGTCCTGTGTTATTGCAGTAATGTCCGCCTTATCTTCAATGGTATGTGTTTCCGTCACTGTACATACATGTAAATATTGACTTAGTGGCGTCAAAGAGGAAACGGAGAGTGATAGGTATGACCAAACTTGTAAACGTTTAAATAGAAGTAGCAATACCTTCAATATCAAATCATTGTTGTTAAATTTAAAAGTACATTTTGTGTAATAAAAGGACGGCGAAACCATTATTTGTATGTAACATATTGCTGCCGATTCTTAACTGTTATCATTTGTTAGAATTCAGACTAAGATAGGATCTGTGCTATCCCATTATTTCACTATATAGACTATTGTAAGTTAGTTGTATAATGGGAAATTTCTACTAATAGCTATTACATGTAAAAGTAGTTAGCACGTGTTTTTAAAGACAATACTTTTCAGTACTATATAAATACCTAAAGCTTATTAGTAATGATATGATGAATCATTCTCTACTGGCGATTTGGAAGCCCCAACTAACATCAATAATCAGTGGCGGCGGCAGCGGGGGAGCAGGGGGGGGGGGCGCCCCCCCCCCAAAAAAAAAATGTTGGGGGGGGGGGGCGTCGCCCCCCAAAAAATCATGCTGAAATTCTAGTGTATTTTCTCTAGATGTAAGGAAAAGCCAGCAAACAGTTCGATTTCTACCTTAAAACCACTTGTAAAACGCATTTTCCGCACTGCGTGGCCACTTGAAATCTGAAATCACACGAACGCCGTTTTCTACATGTAGGTATTACCGCGAGTTGTAAGCTCTGATTGGTTCACCCCCGAAAACCTCCGCTCTGATTGGTTTATCAGCTGTGCACTACGTATTACTAGGAACATGGCACGAGTTTCTCACGCTGTGAGAGTTTGTTCTGCTGACCCCTTCGTAACGATATCGGTAAAAATGAAATCCAGTTCTTCTGAAGACAACATGCAGTTTATTTTCGCGGCACATCGTGCCCTTCCCAACAGCACGACAGTATTTTTCACGTGTGTAGAATCGTGTATGCATCGATATTCCCGGCCCGCTGCTGGTCCCGCACCGCGCGCTCCCGGAGCCGATGTGAGCAAACCATACAAGGTTAAACCAAGGACTGGCTCAACATTTTTTGTCCGATCTCAGAATGTCCTACCATTAGAAATCTTCTGTAATGTCCTTGGTTGAGGCGAACTGAGATTCGATTGACGAAAAGACGAAATGTGTACCCAGCAAAACATCAAAAATTCGTTCCCAAAATACAGGAAATGGCGTTTCCAGAGGGTCGAGATTTTTAAATTTTCCCTGGGAGCAAGCCCCGATCCGCCTTGTGTATTGTGGAAGAAGTTCGTGGACGTCATGCAGTCGAATAGCGAGTAAGAAACTTAGCTACAACGTACTAGAAATTTAGCTTCATGTAGCAGCAAAATTTTCCCCCGAAAATGCAGGAAAACACGTTTCAGAGGGTTAAAATCTCAAATTTTTCCGGGGGAGCATGCCCCCGGACCCCCCTACGTTCGCCGCGCTCGATAGAAAGAGTTCCATACAAATCTCGCCCCCCACTGACGGTCAACATTTCCTGCCGCCGCCTCTGCCTACTCAGTCCATTGAAACATTGGACATGATAGCAAAGAGTTTTCTGTATGATGATCTAAAAATTGAACACAAACTGCTGAGATAGAACACAAACTGCTGAGATGAAGGAGGGTGTTATTCCCTAAATGACACACAATGACCGTTCGGTTCTGTTTCATATGGAAGAATTCATAGACGAAACTCTAGAAGGAGCATTAAACTTAGCTTGAAAGAAAACAAAAATTTAGGGCTCAAAATGCTGGAAATAGCGTTTCAGAGGGGTTAGAATTCAAAATTTCCCGGGGGGGCATGCCCCCGGACCCCCCTAGCAGGCTCGCGCCTGCGGCGCTCGCTGACGGACGCCTTCGGCGCCCGAAATCTCGCCCCCCAATCAAAATTTCCTGCCGCCGCCTCTGATAATAAAATCTCAAATTTTAAGAATATGTATTACCTTCACCTTGTGAATATCTACCATACTGGAATATTTCACGCTGTCAACAGGCTGCCCAACACGCGTTCCAAAGGTTATGTAAAGGAATTTAATTGACACATATTTAATCAGGTTACTGTTAGCCAATCAATATTCAGCTGTAGAAAAGGAGTGGCCCCCACTCGAGATTCACCTTTGTCACTTTGCCAGAGAGGTCACTCTTTGAAGTCACAACCGCAGAATTTTGGCATAAACAGATCTATAACTTATCGAAATGGAGGAAAGAGATCCATGGAAACCAGGAAGATACATTCCACATGCTTTAACATGGATGCGAAGCAGATCGGTGACTTTACAGGTGAGTTATTGTTTTCCATAATGATGAAATTTGGGTCTTAAAAAGCATTTTTCTAGTCTGACACGTGCTTTACATAGAAATTATTCACTCCAGTTCAAGACATTTTAGACTCAAGTCTACATTCTAGGCCTGTATATCATAGCAGTCTTCACAATGTAGTGTTATATTTGTAGATTTTATTAAGTCGTTTGACATGTTGAAAAAGCGTTTTTGAATGAAAAATACCGAATCGTGTGCTACATTCTGTGCCAGTGTACATAGCTGCTGCGCGCCAAAATGATAAGCATGTGTACTTCGGTCACATCTCGACTAGTCTTGGTTGATAAATAATATCGAGTGGAGGTGTGTGTTGGGAGGGGGTTATTTTTTTTTATTTATTAAAGCACTTAAAAGAAATACAAGGCAGCGATGGCGACGCACTCAAGTTATTTAGACTTATATAAGCGCTGCCATCGAACATAAAGTAATTAACAAAGAAATAACACAGAAATGTACACAAAACAAACAATACAAACAGGCATATTGGGGACAAATTAGATATGACTAAATGCACTGCACCCCCCCCCCTTTCCAGTGACATTTCAAGGACTCAAGTGCAATATGCTAAATGTTGCAATTAGGAGGGTACGAAGCGGTTACGTTTAGAAATGAAATCTTGGCTAAGACACATAATTTTACAATTAATTTTGAACGAAAAACAGGAGGACCCGTAAAGTAAAAGGTGTATTAGGGGAGGGGGTTAAAAAGTAATATGCTGTCTTCACAGAGCACAGAAAGAACATATAGAGCTCTTTCCTTGTCTTTGTCATTATTATTATTATTGTTATTATTGGTTAGTTACCTTTTTCTTTATTATAATTACCAGTATCATTATTTATTGTATTTTAATTTTATTGTACGTGACTTTATGTATTTTGTTTATTTGTATAACACAGGGCCCCACTGAAAAGCAGTGTCATCACTGAATGGGAAACCCTGTTTAAATATGACGCAAAACAAATTTAAAAAATTACATCTTAGACTATTAAAGCTAATTGTGACACGTTGCATAATTAGAAGCCACTGTTATCTTATGTTAAACTAATTTATAACTGGAAGCTATGGTTCAATCATTATCAATTACTCATTATGATAAGGCATTGTCACTAGCTGTACAGTCAGGCGCATCATTTAAAAAACGTTTTAAGTTAATTTTTCACAACATTTTTATGTTCAAGAAATGACATATTGTTCCTGTGAGTTAAATTAGGAAATGTTACTGTTTCAGGACGATTTGTCTAATGTAAAGTTCATGAAAGCAAAACCTTTGCATTAGGAAACATCTGCACCTTAGTACCCTACATTACATCTGTTTTATGCAAATTTTGTTGTTCTACTTCCAGCACTCCGTTGAAGAAGCTCCAAAGAAAAGAAGACGAACACCACGGCCATACATTGCAATAATAACATTACTGGTGGTAATAACAGCAGGGGTAGCTTATTTAGGTAAGTATTGTACAGGCTTTGGACTTGTCTTTTAAAAACTCACTTGTATGTAATTATGATTGTACTGTGTGTTCTGTAATTTTAACGCAAGTATAAAATTCAGCGCCATTGGCGGCACTGCCATGTACTTGAGAGATTTTTTTACGATGAATCACTAAACAGATGTTATTGTTATCATTAATATTACTGTATCCTACTAATGGCTTAATAAAGCCTTAATGTCAATAATTCTCGACAACTTTCTTTACGATATTATGTGTCTGACACAATACATTTCGAGATTATTTATGTATCTACATGTATATGATTATATACATTCATGTATAGAACAAACAATGATGTAAACAAATTTACATGCATTTATTGACACATGCCATGTTCTTACAGTATACAATGGCACAGACACGGGCATATACCTTCGTGCTTCAGGTATTGTTCTATTTTGTCCTCAATTTATTATTTTTGTTAATGTTAATATAGAAGTCAAATATATATGTATTTGTAATGGAAGTTATTTGATTTCGTCACAGTTTTGGTCCTGTTTTGTTTACCTTGGCAGAAGAAAACATATTGTTTTTGCTGTTTCTTCTTCTACCGATCCAAACTAATAACGTCAATGACCTGGACCAGACGTCTGTCACCATGGTAACTGGTGCTGTGGTGTTGGGTTACATTATGTAACAAGAGGATGGTTACCATATATATATGTATATGAATGTGTTTGAGTATGAATAAATATAGTATAGTAGTAGTTTGTAAAGCTAGACCATGTGAAGGCAAACACTATGCCTTATAGTTGCCTTTCTAATTTTGTTTGTTTATTTTGCAGTAATGTGCGTTCCGAACCCCTGTCACCATGGCGGTATGTGTGAGACCCGGTCCCGGTGGGGTTCATCAGCCGGGTACTCCTGCAGGTGTCCGGCCGGATGGAACGGGACAAACTGTGAAAATAGTCAGTTATTCTTTAGCAAATTGCACGTTTTAAAGTTGATTTTTATTGTATTTCATTGCATTGTATCATACTGAGATCTCATACTCAGTTGATAGAATACTGAGCTGTAACTGCGTTGTGTTGAATTCTGTTGTACATCTAGTGCTGAGCTGTGCTGTAATGTGCTGTGATGCGTTGTATCCTGTTCTACGTTGTTGTATTTTGTTGTGTTGTGCACGTGCTTTGTCGTGTTGTGTTTCGCTGTAACTTGTTGTGTTGCGTTGTCTCTCTGTTGTACCGCGTTCTGTTGTAATGTGTTGTGTTGCGTTGTGTCCTGTTCTGACGTGTTGTGTTGTGTTGTGCTTTGTCGTGTTGTGTTTCGCTGTAACTCGTTGTGTTGCATTGTCTCACTGTTGTATCGTGTTCTGTTGTAATGTGTTGTGTTGCGTTGTGTCCTGTTCTGACGCGTTGTATTGTGTTGTGCTGTGCTTTGTCGTGTTGTGTTTCGCTGTAACTTGTTGTGTTGCGTTGTCTCTGTGCTGTGTTCTGTCGTGTTAGGTTGTGTTGAATTGTGTCGTGTTATGACTGAAAAATCTAATACCTTTTCCCTATTCTGTATCGATATCTGTGACAGGTCTGTTTTGTTCGACCAATCCGTGCAAGAATGGCGCCACCTGTGTGGGTGGAACCAGTGGGTATACCTGCACCTGTGCCGAGGGCTGGACGGGACGGCACTGTGAAAAACGTAACTATAAAACCTATAAAACGTTCCACATTGAGGTAGTGTAGAGTTATAGTTGAATAAAAAGGTATTGAGTCAAATAACTAGAGTGGTGATCTAGGGAGGGGGAGGGAGGTCCTCCTTTTGTTCGACGCATTCGACGCAACAATATAATCTTTAAAATTCTCATAAGTAGTGTTTGAACTAAGAATAAGTATAGGGTGTAGAACGAAGTACTTCATGGTCTTTTAAGACCGACGAATGCCTACTACTAGTGTTTGAACTAGTCAACAACTAGCAGTGGGAGCCTTAATATTATACAAAACACTTTTTGTCTTGTTTTGTTCTCAGAACTGTGGTGCACAGACGGACCCTGTCAGAACGACGGCGTGTGCTTTGAAGGCAGTGACGGTTTCTACTGTTTCTGTAGTGCGGGCTGGACGGGGGACAGATGTGACGTAGGTAAGGTCTAGAAAAATGTTGTGTTTCTTGTTTCCAGACCGACCATAGAAAAAACTGCTGAACCTAGCCTTTCTGGGGGTGGATCCCTGCAAGGGACATAAATTTTGCATGATGATCGACCTTTTCCAGCTCCATGATCTGACACAACATTTTTTCCTAGGCCTAGGAATGATCATAGTACTAGTATTCTAAAATGTGGGGTCTTAATTATAACAGCAAATAAACTGGTGAGGGGGGCATTCAATTTGCCATCAGTCTCAAGTACCACACCAACTGACAGATTAAAGATATTATGACCATGAATTTAGCGTCGATGCCGGTTTTGGAGCTGGGGAGGGGGGTGGCTCCTCGTTTTGTCTATAATTAGATCTTTGTACTTGGCAAAGGCCACACATTGTAAACCTTATGTAGTTATAAACATAATGTTTCAGTGTTTTAAATCTATTCGGCAGTGAAACACTTTGTTTATTCATTTTGTTGTTGCTTTATTGACAGACATTAACGAATGTGACGCCGGTATGTGCTCGGAGGGATATGGATGTGTGAACAGTCCCGGAAGCTACACCTGCAACTGCGCGGAAGGATACTCAGGCCAATATTGCAACGGTAAAATCTCTTTCCACTTCCAACAAAATCCCTCTCTTTTATATAAGGATTACTTGTATTTAATCTAATAAAGAATTGCAATGAGCAATGCCTTCAACATATTTGTGGGAGGGGGGCCAAGGATGACTGTCACGATGCATGACAGATCTAACCATTGCATACATCTAAAAACCTTAATTTAAAGCTTGGTGTATTATCATCCCTGATACAATTTTACGTTTCTCTTCCCCAGACATCAATGAATGTGAAGAAGAGCCTCATCCTTGCGGAGAGAACACAGAATGTGAAAACACGGGGGGCAGTTATAGGTGCAACTGTGTGGACGGCTTTAAAGCGGACGTGGGAGGCTACAACTGTACTGGTAAGTCTGTAAAACCTACCCTGGGAGCCAGACTAGTATCGGACCGTTAGCCGCTTTCCTTCGGCAGCCAAGAGCCCTTCTCCCGCCTCTCTAAATTACAGCCACGGGGGAGTTGAGCCCGGAAAGAGTTTGGCCGGCCCTGTTACTTCGGGCTAGGTTCTTGGCTGCCGACGGAAAACGGCTAACGGCCCGATACTACTAGTAGTTTGGCTCCCAGGATAGTAAAACCTTTCTGATTCAAAACATATAAGCAGCGCTATCATGCACTATTAACGTTTCCCTGAACTACATCAAGAAGGAAAACATAGTGTGTTGCTCAGTTTCTTCCTCTTCTTCTTCTCCAACCAAAAGGTCAATGACCTAGACCAGACGTCTGTCACCATGGTAACTAGCACTGTAGCAACACCCTGTGGTGTTGGGTTACATTTTGTAGCAGGGCATAGTTGGATAGCCTACTCTCTATACATATAAATGTATTTGGCTTTGTATAAGAATAAACAGAACAGTAGTTTCTTGGGCTAGACCAGCTGGTGAAGGTAAACATTACGCATTTGCTTTGCAAATATTACCTTTCTAATTTGTTCCAATTTGCTTGTTGTTATACAGATATAGACGAGTGTGATCCTGTCTACCGTCTCTGTTCCCCACATGCCAACTGTACCAACACTCTTGGAAGCTACGTGTGCACGTGTAAAGAGGGCTTCTCTGGAAACGGAACGGCCTGTCATGGTACGATATGTTATCATATAGCCAGCAGACGTTGACCAATCAGAAGACTCCATTTCCCATCGGTCATCACGCCGTAACCTTAAAAGTATAACCGATGACTTTTTGGACCGTACCATTATAAAGGGGGCAGGACACTAACAATTACTGTGTTAAGACTTGTAGTATCTATCTATTAAAACGTATTGTAGTTTATTTTGAAAAATGTATTCGCTACGCTCACTCGGTGGTTTAATCGGGGGCTATTGCACCTGGCCAGGGATTATCTCACTATATACACCTCTGGGCGAGGCATTAACTCCTTTATTAACACCTTTATTGATAATCTTAATGACAACCTGTTTATACGAAAATTAAATCTTCTCAGCACTAAATATCATAATAAACAATATAACACTGATGGTTTATGATGGTTTGTCATATGCAAACTATTATATTTATACTGTCTTTCTTTGTTGCAAATATACAAACAAACAAACAAATCTTTACCTTACAGCGCTTCCAAATACTACCATTGACATTGTCACGACTGCACCAACGCCTAGTCTCAGCCCTGCAGACTTCGGATGGTCGGTAGGGGGCAGTATTGTAGAAGCATCTTGGTCACCAGGAGACACTACTACAATAGACATCGACTGTGATCGCCCAGGCGGCGCTAGGCCTTGTATTTCCTCGGACTACCAGGTTATAACGAATGTAACGAGTCATAGCGGGAGTCAGTGCTGGAACTACAAGCGTGGCCGGAGAAATGGTGAGCCCGGGGCCGGTACACCCTTCTCCCCGCAACTCAACGTCGCAGTGGGGCGGTCAGACGGCAACTACACCGGACAGGCAGATTCCTTCTACGCGTCCTTCTGGTTCAAAGCAGCGAAAGAATACACGGACACCGACACGTTCGGAGACGGGTCGCGGATCATGGTAGCTGCCGGGGATCCAGAGGGAACGTGGGCTTCATCGAACTACCTGGAGGTGCGGTTAGAGTCCAGGTACCGCGCCAAGGTTTCAGTGCGAACGCGAGAGAGCTGGCCAAGCTACGAGCAGTGTGCTCAGTCAAAGAACTGCGGCGAGGACTTTGGCTACTTGTCCCAAGATGGCTACCAGGTCGTTGCTGAAAATCTTGAGCCAACAGAGTGGCACAAGGTTGAGATGACCCTCCGCGCCAAGCCCGAAGATTACGCCGACGAGTGGAGGTACGTCGTAGACGGCAGGTACCGGGCCGAAGGCGGGGCTTACTACAAGACCAAGCAGTACGACGAGGGAAGGTATCTGTACGTGAATCGGCTCAACTTCGCGGCTATGCATCCACCGGATGACAACAAGAAAGGGTTCTACTTTGACGACGTGTACTACAAAGCCTTCAACTCGGCAAACCCCAATGTGATCCTAGCTGAATATCGCACATCTTTCGAAGCCAACTGAGACAGTCTAAGGTTTCCTTCTTCTAATTCTAAACTCCTACACACAAGGAGTGTTTTCTCATAGGTAATATATACATATATACAAAAGCCCAAGGATGAAGTTTTCGCTGCATACCAATGGCAACAAATCCGTGGCTAGTTTTACCGGGTTAGTAAATGACTGACATTACTTACTGACAAGTTCAACATCTCACCGCAAGGTGGCGCTGCAGCTTGGAGGATGCGGTCCCAAACGTGACCCCCCCCCCCTCTCAGCTCTCTTCAAAATTAATGACAGTAGAATCCATCAGTATTATTTCCAAGGAAGATAGCAGAATGTCTATGAAAGCGTTGACAGATAACTGATATCGGTTGTGTACAGAAAACCTTGATATTTTAATGTATTAAATGTATTCGCATATATTCTCTATACAAGTAGATCTTATGACAACAAACGGCAATAAACTATCATACTGGACTACGCATCTTTTGTGATCTTTTGATAAAAAGCCTAGGCAGATTATCACATAGCCAGACAAGGTCGACCAATCAGAAGGCTCCATTTCCCATCGGATATCAGGTCGCAACCTCAAAAGTGGTTGGTTATTAGAATAACCGACCACTTTTTGGACCGTACCATTATACAGGGGACAGGGCACTAACAGTAGTCACTGAGTAGCTACGCTCACTTGGTGGTTTATTCGGTGGTTATCGCACCTGGTCGGTGATTATCTCACCATATACACCTCGGGACGGGGCATGAACCCTTTATTATTCTATGGAAAGGACAGTAGATCTATGCAGCTCCCTGCAAATACTATTACTGTAAAATTATGACAGCAAAGAAAGATAGATTACAAAAGAGATTTTTCTAATACTATGACATAACGGAAGATATATGGTATCAGCCATAATTCACTGAAGCTAATAAAGTTCGTATTATTGGTATTTTCTGACTCCCGCCTACAACACCGATGTAATAAACACGTATCAAGGTGCCGCCACGGAGTCTGGTTAACGTGGCCAAAACTTGTACCTAAGGCCACAGCATGTAAATTTTATGGATAACATCCTCCGCAGACTCCAAATCTAATGCGAGCGGGCAAGAAAAAAACAAGGCGGGCTGAAAAAAACATGGTTCATACATTCTAAAATTTTGACCCATCATTGTACAAATGGCTTTGATTCAGCGGGAACATCACATATACACAGCCAGCATTACATATCACTGCATCAAAGTAAGAAACAAAACATTAAATCAGAGCCTTTTCTTGTCTCCTCTCTTCATAGTTATCTGCCATCCACCTTCCGGCATGGCAACAGACATCTTTGCCCATTTTCGGCATGTTGACCACTGTCAGAAGGCAACAAAATTTCTTCTTTTTTCTTTCTTTCAAAATCAGGCGAAAATTAATGCCCGCGCTGATGTCATCCATAAAAATTACTTGCTGTGGCCTAAATAGAGAGGAAATCCCAAGGGGATTTTCATGGCTTCCAATGAATATGTACTTTGCATTATCAAGGTCAGTGCCCTTGTACCGTGGCGAGGTCCCCACAAATTATGGCCTCTAAAAGTGTTAGGGTGGACATTGAAGAATGTAACATCCAACGAAAGTGCACATTTAGGTTCAGAGTGCTTCTAGCGTCCATAATATACTGTATATACGTTGTGAAAACACTTGAGGTCAGTGACATTAATACTTGCAGTACATGTTTGTGATGGTAAATATTTTTTTACTTATTCACATATATTTATTGAGTATTGGGCAAAAAGCAAAATTTGCTTATATAACACCTTCTACTCAAAACATACAACGAGTATAAATTGACATTGAATTGACATTGACAAGATACATGCATAATTACAAGGTGGATAAAACCAAGACAAATACAAACAAGACAAGTTGGTGATCTATCAATTACGAGAATCTACCCGTGCAGTAAATGAAGTTTTGAACTACATCAAAAACATTACAGTTTTGTAAATGTGAAAGTGATGTGGACCCTCGAAGTAGTAAGGAACATAAAGAACTGTCACTGAGATGCTGTAGTTCTACTATGTTGGAGAGAGATGATAACAGAGTAATTCTTTGACTGGAACGCAGTAGATATAATGTTTTACGTAATAAGCTATTTATACATTTCTCGAATCAAGTACAACAGATTTCAAGAGACTCGATGCTAGAGACAGATTTGAATATATCTTTACATGTAATATTTTTATTAATTACGCCCACAATGCAAAAAATAGGTATATAAAATACTGCTTTGTTATAATAAAAAAATTTAAAAAATACCGAAACTCATGATTATCCCCACGATATATCTATATCAAAGACAGACTTGTTCTAGCCCTTTTTTTAGTAACTGGGGTTTATTAGGTTTTTATTCTATATTTCTATGTTTTTTGGTACTTTGTTCAATAGTTGTTGCCATACATTGTGCCATGAGCAATAAAGTTCTTCTGTAAACTATCTGAAGCCTAGAAGAGATTTTCAGCTAATGATACATGGTTTGTCAAGTTGCATAAGGGATACGAATTTTTCTGTTTTATCTAAAAGTCATTTAACATGTACACACTGGTGCCTAATGGTTTACACATAGAAAATACACAGTGAAACACATGAGGCCCCATGGCTTACATCACCACCATTCGTTACGCATGATAGTGTGAAGGTGTTTACCTCCAAGCCTACCATCCTTCAGTGTAGTAACTTGTCTCCACAGACTGGTACATGCTTAAGGCTACAGCAAGTAATTTTTATGGATGACAGCGCTCGCAATAATTTTCGCCTGGTTTTGGAAGAAGAAAAAAACAAGAAATTTTGTAGCCCTCTGACAGTGTTGAAAATGGGCAAAGGTATCTGTTGTCATGCCGGAACGTGGATGGCAGATAAATATGAAGAGAGGAGACAAGACAAGGCTCTTATTTAAAGCTTTGTCTTTTACTTTGATGCAGTGATGTATTTCATTCCTTTTGTATGTGATGCTGGCTGTGTATATGTGATGTTCCCACTGAATCAAAACCATTTGTACAATGATTAAAAACTTTTATTTTTCAAAGTTGCTTCAGTGAGAAATGTAATATATATAATAATAATAATAATATAATGCGAGTTTTATTTGAAACACTTCACAGCCCGAAGGCTGAATTACATGTCCCGTACATTGTATAAATTACATATTGTGAAAATATAATCATTACATTTTTACAATACAACACTAAAGGTTAAAATAGTTGGCACAATATAGGTATCATTTCTTGTTTAACAAGGTTTATAACGTCAAAATTTAAAAAAAATGTAGGAATCTTGTTTTTGGGCCCGCCTTGTTTTTTTCGCCCTATCGAATTAGATTTGGAATCTGCGGAGGATGTCAACCATAAAATTTACTTGCTGTGGCCTTATGTACCTCCGGAGATTTCAGCCCCATTTTATGACATTTTCCCAGACGTAGAGAAATATCATGTGACCTGTTTGACATGTGGTATCAAAGGATTCCTGTCCAATTCTCCCATTTATCACGTCCATATCAATATACACAATGGGAAATGGCATTTCCAATAGGTTCAAGCTGTCTCAGTGTCAGGTTTAGTCTATTGAGTTAACGTTACCATAGAGTCTATAGTATAGCAAAACACTGTAACATAGAAGTTACGTGGATTCGAGGTATACTTTTGTATAGTACGTACTGGATGGATGGATGGATGGATGGATGGATGGATGGATGGATGGATGGATGGATGGATGGATGGATGGATGGATGGCTGGATGGGTGTTTGGATGGATGGATGGATGGATGGACGGATGGATTGATGGGTGGATGGATGGATGGATGGATGGATGGGTTGCTGGATGGATGGATGATTTAATGGAGGAATGGATAGATGGTGGATGAATGGATAGATGGATGGATGGATGGATGGATGGATCCCTAACGTAGGTAGCCATTACACCTCCTAAAGCAAGCTACCTTGCCTCACTCTGTACGTATCACTAGTACTCCTACTAGTCTTGATGTTGAAATAAGATAGACTGCGACCAATGTGTGTGATTGAATTGAGATTTTAGCCCCCAAAGGCGCTGTCTCCAACTTGCTTTGTATCCTGATTCTGTTTTATTAATTCCCAACTGGGTGCCATCTGTCCCTGTAATGTTATCAAAACCGCCTTTTCAGAATTTCAGCCTCCAGATACCTCTTCTGAGCCTGGTATATCAAGGACTTTCCTCTCATGTGTATGGTGGATATAAATTATACATTGTGTTGTGTGACGTTCAACGAATTTTTCTTTCTTTTCTTTCGTGAGTGGGCGACCTTTTTTACGATATTCCCCTGCGGGCTAGTTGTACAAGATACGGCACTCTAACGGTATTGTGCCTCCACGGTCCCTAAATCTCAAGTGTTTACATATTTAAAAGGCACTTAGGCCACACCAATTTGATTTGTTGGTTCTCGGATTCGCCTCTTCATTTTTTCTGATTTGCAAAAAAAAAAATTCTGGTTCTGAATCAGCTCAAAATGCTTATATTTAGCCCCCAACAGTTGAGGAAAGTCCTTTTCTTCCTAGTTGTTACCGCTTTTTTTCATCTATCAATGCAGTGGTTTGATTAAAAGTTCATTGTTTAAATATTAAGCCAGCCTTTTGTGTTAACTGCATGGCTACTATCGTTGCATTTGGGCCTAGGCCTATCATAGGATGCCTAGACCTGTTTTTTTCGCCCTGTCGCTTCATATTTTTTCTAAAAAAATCCGAGAACCAACAAATTAAATTGGTGTGGCCTTACCACCGTAAGGATTAAGTAGTCAATATTGACTGAAGGGGGCCGGGCATATATATCTAACTTACCACTATCTATCAACTTGATACAGCATGGATTTTAAAGTCTAATAAAACCTCTGTTTAAGACTGATTATGTTTACCAAAGGAAAACATATTGTTTTTGCTCTATTTCTTCTTCCTCTTCTTCTCCAACATTGGGTTACATCATGTTGCAATTTTTTAGTAGGAGGGATTTACACTGCTGTCACTATATATGTGAATGTGTTTGAGTAAGAATTAACAGAGACCATATGCGAAGGTAAACATTATGCATTTGCTTTGCAAATGTTACCTTTCTAGTTTTAGAACGCATTTTGTGCGACGTTCTGAAAATATATATAGCTAGCGAAAAAGAATTTAACTGAAACGAACACACATGCCTATTCTAATTTGTTTTTGCATCCGTTACCAGGCAATTTGTTTGCGACTTTCAAGTCTGTAATTCCAATTCAAGGTTAGGGCTACGATTGGCGCATTCTCTATTTCCGTTGGGTTTTAAATTCTGAAGATACCGTGGATTGTAATTATACTTGAGTACGGAAATACCGCGTGTTTGGTGATGTTGGCCCGATAGGAACGGTTGAGATACCGCTTGATGTACATTGATGTAGCGGCGTGGAGGGCTCCAAAGTCCGGGTAGGTGTTATTT